AAGGGGTTTGTTATTTCCCAAAATTTGGGGGGGGGGGGGGGGGGGGGGGAGATGCTGCGCGTCTCTCCCTTCCCTGCAGACGCCAAAGTGGTGTCTCAGACATGGCAGATGGGGGTGGCTGCAATCATTGATGTCTCAATCTTCAACTGAACCAAAAGCACCAAGTATAGCATCACCACCGCCCTTTTGGCTTTCCACCGGGGACCACCGGCGTCCAGGCACCAGCAAGTCGACTGGCACGCGCACGCAGACACGACGAACAAAAAAAAAAAGACGTAGCTGCCCCAGCCAAGCCGACACGTCGAGTATAAAAGGGAATCAAGAGCCCGGCCCTGATGGAGGATTTGCCTCACCGTACAGCAGCCGGCACCATTCTTCTCTACACCCCCCTCTTTCATATACACAACTGCCTTGTGGGCATTGAAACTTGCACACACTACAAATATACACCCAAGGAAAAAGGAGACGATAAAAAAACAATGTACGCAATCAGCTTCGTCGTCGCCTGCCTGGCTGCCGTAGCCACGGCTGCCCCGGCACCCGGCCCCGTCAGAGACCAGTTGTCTGCTCCGCGCATCAACCAGCGCGATGTCGCGGCTCCCAAGACGGACGACAAGCACGTCGCGGCTCTCTACGACAATGGCTTCGCTCCCCCGCACTGGTGAAAAGCGCGGCCATGGGCAAAAGGGGAGAACGACGTTGGCGAGGGAGACCTCTCCTCTTGGCCCTTTCAAGGGTCGGAAATGAGGTTGACTTAGATGATGGTTGGATTGGTGGAGAAGAGCCGCGAGAACTAGCTGAATTTGGTGCGTGGGTGGTGGACTTTTTGACATTCCAGTTTCTTTTTACTTTTTTTTTTTGTTGTCTCAGCGCTTGCTTTTTTTGGGCGGGAAATTCTCCTTTCCTGTTCTTTGTATCTGTCGCGATTCTTTGCACGAGGCTGACTTGGTAGTGGTAGCTATTGTTTGGGAATAGTAGTATTTTTTGAGGTTTTGCCAAGCAGTTGCCGGACTCGCAGAGTGACGACTATCGATGTTGATTGGCTCGGGCCTGGGTAGCCGATTTTACGTTTTTGTGACGTTGCCGGATGGGGCAGTGAGTCTACCATCTTGATCTCGTTGGAAAGTGTTTTTCAACCGCCTTGTCAGATTCGGTACTATGTCAGCGTTACCCCCTAGATCAATATGCCTAGGCCCCTACTTTTGTAAACAAGAAAATTCGCAGTCCGGCTCCCACCCACACATGTGAACCATAAAGAGCCCTTCCAAAAACTCACTCCAACCGTCCGCAAAGGGCATGCCTTCCCTCCCCCTCCCCCCAAAACCTCAATGCCTCTTCGCCCCTCTCCTCACCTCCCCCGCGTCGCCAAACCCCACGCCCAAGACGAACGCCAGCCGCACCGCCGTGATGAACAGGTACAGCCCGCCAACGGCCCTGTCGTCGGCCGACCACAGCCGCGGCTCCAGCCTCCCCTGCCTCTGCAGCGCAAAGTACACGCCGCTCAGCCCGCCGACGTCGCTTAGCAGCAGCGAGAACTGCAGCACCTTCCAGACTGCCAGGTCCTCCGACACCCGCGGCACCAGGGCGCTCATGACGGCCACGGCGAGTGCCAGCCCGCCCGCCTGGTGGAACAGGAACACCGTGGCCGGGTCGTACGTGGACAGCGGCGCCATCGAGGCCACGGCCTGCCCGGGGGCCAGGAAGTTCAGGTAGGCGCCGTAAAGGGCGATGAGCGGGTCGACGTAGGCGAAGAAGCAGGTGTACAAGGTTGGCACCGCCGCGACTGTCGATGCCATCGTGGACGGATGCGGCGTGTCGGGAGAGGAGGCGTTGCTGTGATCGTTTGACTGGAGTTATCAGAATGTCGGCCGTCGCCGCGATGGGATCATGTGCTGGCGTGTTTGTTTTGTTTTATTTCTATTTTTGTTGAAGTGCAAGGGCAGTAATTGAATACCCGGACACTCCGTAATTCGTTCATCACCATGGTATATGGTAACTGGCAATTTAGAGAAACAGGCACTTTCACAAGAGGCAAGCGGCGTTAAATACTGACGGGTCCCGGCACATGGGGTCGAGACTCTTGCTAGCTTCCAGCCAGACAAAACTCTCTCCCCGGCCACCTTCTTCCGGGCCCTATCCACCGAGCAGCCTTAGTAAACGTCAAATTGCTTCCTTAACACTCATAAATGATACGCCTAAAACGCAGCCGCCGCTTCGGCATCAATTCGTCACATCATCAAATCATCATAATGAACAGAAAGCCGTTGCTCACACACCTTCCACTTCCGTCCGTAACGGTGTAGGGGCGTGAACCCAATCGTGGCAATTTCTCAACTTTATGCAGAGCCCCAAAAAAAAATTTTTTTTTTTTAACGTCTTTCAAATCATGCATTACACTGCTGGTTCGCCCTTCTTCCCTTTGGCCTCAGTGTTGTTCAAGAGGTGTCGCAGACTACCTTCAGCGCGACCTTTGGGCTTAGATGAATGCGACACCCACGGTAGCCAGCTGGCGAGTGTCGACAGAACGCCGGTACTACGGGCGCCGTCTTGGATAGAAGATATCGATCCTCGTGCCATGTGCTCTTCCAGCCTGTCCGGTCGCGGCGATGGCTTGTTCTCCAAAGTCCGTTGCTGCGATTCGCTCTCGGCTGCCGTCCTCGTCTCTAATTGGCTATTTGAAGCACGCGGTAATGCAGGTTCGCTTACCAACGCGGTAGCTGATGTCCGAGGCGTTGCCTCTGGCGTCCCGGTCAGTCTCGAGCTATCTATCAAAGCCAATGACGTCGATGGCCGTCTCGCCGGCGTCCTTGGCTGCTGTTCACTGTCCTGTGAATTGGAAGGGTCCCGTTCACTGCGTGAAGATGTCGTCGGAGTCGGAGACGACTTTCTGGCTGTCCGTCCACGAACCTCGTTGGCAAGGTCCGAGGCAGACTTCTTCTTTGACCCCTCCTCGTCGGATGAGCGGCTTGACGACATTATGGTTTCAAGCGTGCCCATTGCTCTGCTGTTCCTCCTTGCAGCTTGCCTTCTCCGCCGAGTAGTGTTTCTCATATCGCGCTCATCGTCTGATGACACCGCCTGCAATGTAGGGCCCTGCGGCTCTTGATTCTGAGTAGATGCAAGGAACGAAACTCCAGAACCGTGAGGGGCATAGTGAACCTCGTACTGATTGCTCAATGAATACCGTGACCGGGCACAGATCTCGGCTATCCTGTCCAGGTCGGAGTTAATATCGGCTGTGCCAGCATGTGTTGGCGTATTTGCCATGAAGCTCTTGAAACTGAAGGCTTCTACCGGAGGCAGACGAGTATCCTGTTGAGCCTCCACCGTCGGCATTTTCCCATTATACACTCTCGCCATGGTGCTCAGCATTCCTTTGCCGGCTGAAGAGACTTTGCCTGAGAAGGGGAGAGCCCGGGTCACACCGGTCACTGGCCCACCAACTTCAGAACCGGCCCCACCACGACCAGATCGGCGTCGAGTGGAACTATCGTGGCGGCTTGGGGCAGGAGAGTAGTAACTGCGAACAATGACGGGTTCGGAGTAGGTGCTGGATTGCGCACCGGTTGACTTCGCGTATCGATGTCGGCTAGGATAGTGGCTATTGAGCTCCCGCAACGCTGATGTTCGATGTTCAGCAGTGGTATCATCCACGGGGATGGCTCTTCCCTCGGCTGTTGACGGTGCCACACTAGTTGATGTAGGGTTTGGCCGAAACGGCCTTGTCATGGAGAAGGGGAAAGGATCTCGTCGAGTATCGCTGGTTCGACGCGTTGACGGGGCAGTCGAGGATGGCGGCAGCGGTGGTGGGCGTGAATGGGGATGTTGAGCTCGAGGGGGAGACGCAGGGCTTGCAGTTGAAGACATGGTGGACGTCGGAATTGCAATGATATAAGTTAACTTCGGATTCGTGGACGCTTGCTTGCGTCCTCTGCCACGGCATTGGTCATCTCAGCGGCACATTCGAGGAAGCTGTAAAACGGGGCAGAGACAAGAGAGAGTAGAGGTGCGATTGGGCTCGACCGGTTTCGTCTGGGACACTTGTTCCTACGGTGCTAGGATGATTGAGTCTGGTCAGGTCGGGACAGGTGTGGTGAGAACATGGCCCAGCGTCGATATCCTGCCACGTCCGTCCACGTTCGACCACGTCTGTGCGTCGGCTGGGGCCGAGCCAGTTACAAACGGAGCCTGTGTGCGCTGACAGTACGTGGGTTGCTTTTCGTTCGTCTTGCTTCGCCGCACAATGAGTTGGCTGTATGCAGGTGTGCCGACGTCAATATTGAATGTTGGATGTTAATTTGACTGAACGTCTTGAATTCCCCCACCACAGGTCGTTGTCGTCGGGGGCGGGGTTGACTTGACTCGACTTGACTTGGTTTGAATCAAGAAAGACCGAGTGGGCTGTCCAGAGACATGAGACACGCAGTCCGAACCCGTGCAAGACGTTGGCTGAGAGATGGCGAGGGCGGAATATTACAGAGTATGTGAGAGACGAGATGCAACAATACGAGTCGAGTGAATGAGAAGTCAGAAAATCACCCGCAGCCCCAGTGCTCGAGCGCTCGAGCGATGCGGCACCGGGAAGTGACAGTGCAAGATTGATGGGAAATGTCGTCCAATTTGCAACTCAGTCACAGCGGCACTGCGTCGAGACGTGCCGTTGTCGAATGGTGCCTCGCCTTGCTCTGCACTACTGATGCATCATGTGTCGTGGCAGACGTCCAAAGGTCGGCTGGCTCAAAGGCTTTGCGCCCAGACCAAGCCCGTCTCCCGTGTCTCCCCATTTTCCCCCGTTTTCCCCATTTCTCAAATGCTGTCAATGCGTCTTCCGTCGCGCCACGCTCTTCCCCCTCATCCACATGCACACCAGACACCAGACCATCGTCTCGTCACCAACAGTCCGGCTGGTCTTCAAGCAAAACCCCTGCTGCCTCGTCCTTGCATCTCCGACACCCAATTATCGCCCGTCTCTGCGGCCAAACACATGGCGCTGGTCACCATCGCGTCGACGTGGACAAATTGATCTTGACCGTTGTCGATGACTGGACAATGGCACTCTGACCAAGTGTTTGAGAGGGGTTTGATCAAGTGCCTCGCGTCTCATGTCTCACATTGTGATGCGTCAGTGTTGATTCCAGTCATTGCAAATTCACAGATGGACACGCCCCAAACCCTTCCATGAAGGCGGAGGTTGGTGACTTCCAGAATGGCGTTCTGTCGCTGTTCATAGAGGTATGGAGTGGTGACCTTGGCATTGCCGCGTTAGACCCTGCACCAAGGGCGATCAAGTCACACGAATGGGCCATCAGATCATGACGATCAGTAAGTAGCGGCCGAGTGAAACCATTAAGGACAAGTATATAAGCAGCTTGACCATCCCCTACGTAGCGCTCAGTCGAATATACTACACCATGGCTACAATGACGCTTCTTACATGCCTACTGTCGGCCGTCATCAAAACTGCGTATGTGTTAGAGATGCGTACTGATTGTCAACCCGGATTCTACATCCCCCCTTGAAACTACTATCAAGACTGAGAACTTGCTATCATCATCTTCCCCATGTTGGCTTTCCCGGCCTGTGATGTGGTATTCACGAGGTAGATCAGCCTCGCGGCTTTTGAAAATGTTATAGACATATCCCGAAACCCAATCATTATCCACACAACACTCTTTCACGCACACCAAGTTGCAAGTGCGAATACAATGGAAATCGGGTGGACATCGCCCGACATATTTCACAAAGCCTCCTTGTTCATCTCTCATACCAAGAGGTTGAAAGCGAAATAATATCCCTGCAGATCTGTGGATTAGCCATGTTTCTTGCTCTATATGGTTCCATTTATGCTCTGATATACCCTTGACATCCCTGCAGTCTTTTCACAGACAGGATGAATAGCGAGTGCGGCAGCGGTGTGGGATTGTTGATGGCCGTGGTCTCACGTATGTCACATTTAAGAAGCCAATGCTGTTCGGAGACGAACAGCACACACCACAAGCGTTGTAACCTTCCGATTTGCCTTTGTCACCTCAAACTAAGAGTCAATGTCATGTGTTTTCAAAAGAGACACCAGGAATAACTTTGGATGCATCATCATCCGGATTCCTGGAGAGGAAAGCGTTCAAGCTACCCACGTAGCGACACAAGAGACAGATATCGATGGGTGCTTGGGGCCGTGTCCCATTGGTGGCAAGCTATGAAATGAAAAGTCCAACACGAAGCACTACCTAGGTAGTGAGCACACCACAGCTTCGGTCCCCTGCTCACGTTTGTTTTGTACCGAAACTTGGTACATGTAGTATCAGACGCAGATAGCGTAGGTCGGATATAGCGGACTCAAAGCCAGCAAATGCAATTATACACACGATATATAAATTATGATTCTTGCGTTGCATTAAGCCTTTGAGCCAATTCAAATATGGCTCCAAAATATGGTATAATAATAAAGTGTTGGCTGATTCGGTATTATGAGCTTTGATTTACCTGTTCCGGGGCAACCTCCCACTGCTTCAGGTTCGGTATCAAATGACAACATGTGGGCAGCATTTCTTGTCCGTTTCGCTGATACAATTACGCTACGAGCTTGGACACAATGTAACTACAAAAGATTGACACGGATGTGGCGTTTCACTTTAACCCAGGTCCCATTGTACCTAGGTATTTATTAAAGGGCACGTGTACACAGGATGGGAGTAGATAATGTGAGAGCCACATAAAATGGCTGCAAGTCCCAGACTCTGATAAAGCACCTCATTCAGACATTCGCGCGAAATTAGAAACATGCACAGCAACGCAGACATATATCCCAGTATCGTCAGCCAAGATGTTTTCCTTGGCTCTTCTCCTAGGGGGTTAAGCATCACCCAGACCACTTCCTCTGCCTGATACCAACACACGACACAGGCACTGGCGATTCCAGAGCCGGACCTTTTTGAAGCTCCTATTCCAGGATATGCAGTTCAGCCTATCGAACAAAAAAAATTTGACCGGCACTGTCCCACATGTCCATCATCAAGTCTCAGGTGAACCTCAACTTTCGAGAAGAATATCTCCAGTGTCGACGCCTTGCCTCAAATAGGATTGAAGTCAACATGTTTCTCCGACTGCAAAACCACCCGAAAGAGGAAAATGGTTGCCCAAGATGGGGTCAACTATCTGTGAAGAGTATCGTATCAGCCTGGGACCTAAGCCAAGCTCCTGCGGGTAAGAGAGGGCTCTGGAAATTGGAATCACATTGCCCGACAGGATACTAACAAATTGTTAGAATCACTGAGCACGTGGAGGTATTGGAACGCTGGGCCCCTGATATTAAAGCTAGCATTTGTTAGGGCGTTGATGGCTAACCCTACCGAGTACAGATGGACAAACATCGATACAACAACATTGCGTAAAACTTCGGCCCCTGCAAGGGAACGACTGGCGCTAACAAAAATTATCTCAGGCGAGAAGATACATGTGGCACAAGTAAGACGTTGGAATAATGAAGCATCCTAATGATATCCACGCCTCCTGCGTTTCCGTCCCTCCTGTCAGACGTTTATCCAAGGCCATTTCACCCAATGGCCGCAATTAAGATATTATGGCCAACTAAACAGAACCCAGGGCCAATATCCTCGACATCCTTTCACTCAAACTGCCTACACAAAATGTCAAACCGAACCAGGCTATCCCTCCTACTAAACTCCCGACTATCCGCAAAATCCAGGCATACCTTCAAGGCAATCGGTACTAACGTGTAGGCTGGACAATAGTTCCATAGCCCTGTCCTCCGGTCTGCACGTTTTCAGAGTACACACCTGGCGCGCGGCTGGTGGGAAACCGTCCCTGATGGGCCTGTTCGCGGCGGTCGTAGTAGATGTATTCGAGGTAGAACGCATGTATATGACCCGGAAAGTATCCCAGAATTGTCAGGCAAACGTTGATAAACAAATCTACAACGTGTCAGCCAGGCTCTGAATGGACCACTGCTGGAAACAATCCATGAAAATGAACCTACCCATGCCACATCCTGCCACTGCCCACACACCCAGCGGAGGGACTATACACAACTGTCAGCATCAATGTCATTTTTTTTTTGGAGATTTTGAAGGCGACTCACATAGAATGGTGATGAGAACAATGAGAATAGTAGATGCGACACCCATATTTGCGATTGGGAACGGTACCCGACGTGAAATGAGCTGTTAAAATGATTTAAAGGCGGGGTAAGAGATTCCAAAATGAGGCAGCTTCGGATTCCTGTCTCTGGTCAACGGTCGCCAAAGTGTCTCGAAGTATGTTGAGGTTGGAGATGTAGTATGGGTACAGATATCAAAGGGTTCAAGAGCGACGATTAACGAGTTTAGAAGACGTCATCAACAAATTGCGGGTGGTGTAAGGTGATGGATGGCGTGGTGACGAAACGATTTATGCACAAGTGGAATGTTTGGCCGCTTTTTGTCAGGCAAGTCACGGTCATAGTGTCTGTGATGGGCGGAATGCGGCCATGACGTACGTAACATGCATGTGTCTGGTTATGGAAAGCTCTGTGCAACGGAAGGAGCCTACCAAGAACAGCCTGCCAACATTGGAGGATGATAAGCAGCCAACCCGGTTCAAATTCAACCCAAGAAACGTTGCTCTAAAAACGTAGGTAATAAAGAGAAAAGCAAATACATGAATAAATGCACTACCTACTTACTTAGATGTAGGTAGGTCAGCAATCGACGCGCGGCGCCCAGACTCCGCTTGCCAGCTTGGTGGTCTTCCAGCTCATAACTTTCCTTTCTGTCCTACGTTGTCTGGAGCAAACGCCGTCTGAATGCTCTGCATTTACCGTGAATCTGACCGGTCGATTGCCGCCATGGTTGACTAAAAATAGCCTGAACCATACTCCGTACCGTGACAGCGTGCGTGGTTCTTGATACGGTTGTACGGAGCAGATGTGCGACCTTGACGGTTGAGGTTGGTGGTCACTGGTCACCCTGGGATGGCGTAGGAACGAACTCGCGGGTAGCGGCTGCCCTCCCGACGATGCTGTCAGCCGTGGAGGAGAAACAGGACTCTAAACTCTGCTCATCTGGAGTCCGTTCTCGTAGCCTTGCTCCTGCTTTATGCATGCAGAAGGTTATGTTGTGTTCGCCAATTCGCGGGGGGTTTTCTGGCGACCAGGCAGCCAAAGACGCCACTGGTGGCCACAGCACGTCTCTTTGTGGAACATGCCGACTGATCAGGACTACAACATTGCCCTTCCGCCGCCTGGTATTTATCACCTCTGATCCGATTCTCTTCGCGCTGGCGCCTCTGGCTCCTCTGGCGTCGGGACAGTCCGGAGTATTTCAGGGGCCTGCGAGTGGTACGGAACATGACTCCCTCGTTCATGTATAACTTGCCCTTTTGTTCATCTCGAGCATGTGCGTCTTTCCCCTGCATCCCGACTCATCGTCCCTGGCTGCGACCTCGCTGCTGGTGCATCTCGACGTCGAATTCGGCAAAGGGTACGTACATGCATATATATGTACAAGCCTAGGCACGGTCTCTTTGCAAGATGTATCCATTAACTGTTGCCGGGTACACTGCAATACGCTACAGTCACCAGGTGCTTTGCCTAGTCGGATTCGGATACGTCTTGCTTTCCCACCCATGTAAGCATGCGGTGTGGACGGGCTGACTGACCCGCGAGGTCTGGTTTTGTGCGATTCGTCATTCCGAAACATTGATACGGAGCAAGGAGGGGCGAGTAAATGGAGGTTCCCTGCGCCAGACATCGAAGACCATCCAACGACGCAGCCAACAACGCAGAAACCAGTAGTATCAGAAAGGCTAGATCCACGTCTCCAAAGCCCCTACGGAGTAGTCTGGTAGGCGATCCTCTTCGGTCAATATACACCATTAAGCTGAAGGCCGAGGCCATCGATTACTGAAACAGTTGCGCCGATATCAGCAGCTGAATGTGCCGACACACTGCCAACAAGTGCTACTGGACCTTAGCATGTGCCATGATGCAAGAATTGATAACGGCAGGCCGCAAGCATGTTGCCTTGACCGGTATTACACGCGTTGCATGGCATCCAGCGTGTCCCAGCATGTCCCAGCATCCAACCCTCTCGGCTGCGTTGAGTGCTGTCTTCGTATGGTCAGGTCACAGGTGCTGGAATATGTGCTGATAACGAACAAGAGGCACTATTACGTGCCGTTCCAGCGCTCGGGACCAACCTCCCGCTTGATCATCTTCCCGACGTCAAGGTTTCGACGTGGCGCTATGGCGCTGTTAACATGATTCCGCCCTCAGGTTCCAGAAGCATCCCACTCCTTTCACGGCTTAGCGGGACGACGAATGCACTGTACCTTGTCAAGGATCGCCCCGGCATACGACAACTGCGAGGAGACGCAGTACGGAGTAGGTGGCCGGGCAACTGGGGCATATCGAGCTTTTTGGAAACTGCTACAATCGTACGGAGCACATTATAACGGGGCTGGTTGGTGTAATCATATGGAGTACAACTTTTTGAATCATCTCTTCTAGCATATACTTGGCTGCTGTACCTCGCACAGAGTCGTGATGAGGCTAGATGGCGAGCCAAGTTGTCGACACCGGGAACTGGGGAGGATCCTTGGGTGTATTCACATCCGACCGCCTCCGTAGAATCGCGCATGATCAGGAATGTACGAGGTACACCTGCAACATCACCATGTCAGTCAGTAAAGCTGTCAGTCGGTTGGCTGTGCTAGGTGGCCAAGTGACTCAGCCCTCTCATTGATCTCCCTGTTGGAGTCTAAACTGACAGAATTACTAGCAGCGAAGGCGCAACTGCTGCAAGCATTCGAGTGTAGGACTGACAACATTGAAACCATTTGCCGTGGTCCCTGACTCTTGTGCCTCCCCGACAGTGGATCCCGCGAGTAGGGCAAGTGGACACATTGTACTCCAGTTTTCAAGACAGCAGCAACCTATCCGCTTGATGGTTTTTATCCGCAGGTGGCTCATTTACTTGCTACATGACATTTGTCTGCAACATGGGTTATACACATACATAGTTGCAATTATAGTGTAGACACTGTACGTTGCCTGAGTGCCCGAGTACTCTTCAATGGACCTGGAATTGAGTTCTTAGTCGCAATCTTGCTGTTGAGCCCACCAGTGAGTGGGAGTTGGTTCTGCTGCCACAGGTTGGCAAGAAGCGTAGAGCATCGGGGCTGCCTGTAAGGTCCATGTCGGACGTAATATCCCTCTGCTTGATCCAATGGTCAACATGTGTCCGTCAAATCAAACCTGTCTGGTTGACCAACTACTCCGTACTAAAGTAACTGTTGATGCCAGCACCAAGCAGCCAGCGCCCAGTGTGCTACTCCCCGACCAGCAGACAGGTGTTGGTTGCTGGTACTTCCTGTTCTTGCCTGGGCCCGCGAGGATAACACCGCCCCAGCCAGTGTCTAGTCTCGGATGCTCTCCACGTTGGCCAAGCCAGCAAGCTGGACCCTTTCCGTCAACCCTCGTCTTCGTCCTTTTCTGCAGACTCGTTGGTTCCCTGTCGTCTGGTCTGGCTGGAAGGGTGTGTTTCGTCCTTGGTTGGGTGCGGCCAACCCTTCGGCAGGGTGCTTAGATTTTGTGATTTTGTGTTCTTCATATTTTGGTATTTTTCATGACCAGGCGCCCCTCTAACCGCCAACTGCCAGCTGCCAGCTGCTGACGTTGAACTGCCAACTGCCCAGCAACCCTCCTAAAATCCACAGTCCACCGCCCACAACCCGCAGTCCTTGTCGGCCCGTGCGATTCTCCAGCTCCGTCCGACCTGCGGCTCTTTTTGCTCGGCAAAACCTCCTGAAGCTTTCAGTTGTCTCTCGTCACCCCCAACACTCCTCAATCCCGCAACCGTCACACCTTGGAGAACCGGCTGGGTCACAGGCTGCATCTCCGTCCTTTCTCTACTCTCCTCGACTCGACCTTCTTTGCGAAAGTCGACAAGCGAGCAGACTGCTTCGACGCTGCCGCCTACGCCAACCCATCCCCTCTGCTGGTCGCTGAGCCCGGACGCTCCGCCGGTCACTATGTCTTCCCAGCAGGTTCCTCAACTTAACGTTGATCGCTATGTCGTGATCCATGTTGCAACCACCTGTGATGAGCATGGTGTCTACGTGACCAAGGACTCCGCTGAAGTCATTGAGCTTGGATGGATTCTTCTTGATGCCAACTCGCTCGAGGAGGTAAGATGTTCCTCACCAATTCCCAGAAGCCACGCAACATGGTTCATTCTTGCTGTTCGACCGCCTTCACCAACCTTAGGAAGCCATTGCTAACATCTTTCCTTTGCTGCATTGACAGATTACACACGAAAGTGTTCTTGTCAAACCTGTCAATACCCCAATCACCCCTCTTTGCAGTACGTAAACCAATCTGGTGGTCAATTTCTTTTCCAAACCAAACAGGAGAACTTTCATTGTCCCTGGTCGCCGCAACCAGTGCCCTCGTCCATAAATATCCCGTTTCCTCCAGCAATTTATTTGTACGAGTGTTGGCTCGTCAGGAGAGGTCCCCCGGCTAACGAAACCTGTCGTGTAGCGAGTCTCACTACTCTCACTTGGGAACATGTTCGAAACGCGGGTACCTTTAGAGACGCTATCTCTCGATTCGATACGTTTGCGACAGATTACTTGACTTCCAAGAACCTCGATTTTGTTTTTGTCACCCTGGATGCCTGGGATCTTCGTGTCCAACTTCCCCGAGAGGCCCGCGACAAGGCTGTTGTTCTACCCCCCTATCTACAGCACTCGCGGACATTCGACCTCCGAACGGAATATCAGCGATGGCAGCAACATCACCCAGAGTCCCTGCCCTTTGGTCCCTCAATGCTGTCCAATATCTGCGCTGCTCTCGAGGTTGACCCTGTCCAATCCAGTGCCCCGATCAAGCATAATCTTCCATTCCACTTGCAAGCCCTGGCTCCTGCTTCTCCCCGACGTGCCATGGAAGAGGCCATCACACTGGCCCGCGTTCTCCGTGGCTTGATCCGCAAGTCACAGCCTCCCCAAGATCATCCGGATGTCTTGACCAGACCCATGGATGCTAGAGCCGATGTTCGCGCTTTCCTTTCTGAGAGAAGCAAGGTCCTTCATATGTCCGGCCTTCCGCACGACACCACGCAGTCGGAACTTGAGAGCTGGTTCACTCAGTTTGGTGGTCGACCCATCGCATTTTGGACTCTGCGTACTCCTGAACAGCACAAGCCCACCGGAACTGGCTTTGCCGTCTTCTCTTCTCATGAAGAAGTGAGTTGCATTCCTCCATTTGGATAACCCTATTGCCCATCAAAATTTGAAATCTACTCAGACAGGATTATTGTGAGCCTTGTCCTAACTGACTACTTAGGCGGCTGAGAGCCTTTGTATGAACGGCCGTGCCTTGAACGAAAAAGCTATCGAGGTTTCTCCCTCCTCCAGTCGTGTGCTTGACCGCGCCCAAGATATTCTCACTCCGTTCCCCCCTAGCAAGAACCGTCCCCGGCCTGGCGATTGGACCTGCCCTTCTTGCGGTTTCTCAAACTTTCAGCGCCGAACTGCTTGTTTCCGATGCTCATTCCCTGCCGCTGGCAGTGGTCCGGGTGGTGCCGATGCAGCTGGCGGATATGGATATGGCGGTGGTTACGGTCCTCCTGCAATGATGCCACCTCCACCTCACGGTGGCCACCATGGTCCCATGGGCCACGGTGGCCGTATGGGCGGTGGCGGTGTCGTTCCTTTCCGTGCTGGCGACTGGAAGTGCGGTAACGAAGCCTGTGGTTATCACAACTTCGCCAAAAATGTTTGCTGTCTCCGCTGTGGTGCCAGTCGAGCTGGCGCGGCCGTTGTTGCAGATTCCGGCTATCCTTCCCCGATGGACAACCCTTCTCAGTATAGCATGGCTCAAGGATCCATGGCTGGCACGCCTGGGCCTGGCACCTTTCACTCGGGTAACTCTTTTGGTTCTGGCGCTGGCTATAATCAACATTTTGGAGGTCCTCCAAGCCACTTCCTCCCCGCTGGGATTGGCGGTGGTGCCGGTGGTTATCCCAGCTCCATGAACAATCAAAGTTTTGCTTCGACTCCTGGGTCTCACTCTGCTGGCCCCTTCGATAGTCGAGCTGCTGAGGCGGCCTTCCAGTCTGCTTCCAACGGCCCCGCGTCAGCCGGTTCTGGACCTTCCAATCATTTCTACAACAATAATAACGGAGAAAACGACCCCTTCGCATTCCTTAGTACTGGAATTGGCGGGCTTTCTGTTAGTGGCAATGATGCTCGGCAGAATGGTGGTAGTGCTCCTCCAAGCAAGTCGCCTGCTTAAAACACCAAAACTGCTTGTGGCTTTAGTTCAGGTGCCAGCTTTTGCACAAGCCTTCCTTAGACGGCCAATTCCCAACATGACGTTTGCGTATCTGTCTGTCGATTTTCTGCCGCACAACAAGAACGACTTGGAACGATGAACATAGAGAGCACCTTGACCTTCGACAACAACCAAAAACATACTTCTGGACTTGGCTTGCTATTTTCAAGGGAACGGGGGATACCGGTGCGTATTGGCTTTTTCATTTATTTATTTTTGCAGGACCAGGGCGGGTGTCGGACCTCTATTTCAGGCGGGATGTGGTAAACAAGCAAAATTTTGAAAGGATGGAAAGACAAAAGTGACACTATACCACGGCTGCTCTGGGTTGAGAGACTTCGGTAAAGGATTTGCTAGGACCATGTTTCCTATTTTCTCACATTTGTTTTCTTATGTTTTCGTCGCAGAGCGGAGGGCGGCCCGCATATATTGTGGTAAAGGGGTGGGAATGTTGATGTGGACTGGGACTTTGTGGGATGGATTGTGGTATTTTGCTGGAAAGCCATTTTTCTCCCGGATGGGTGCATAGCGAAAGGGAGTGTAAGGGTATACCTTTGGCCATGGCGTGTGACATGAAATATTGCGGATTCGCTCGGTGTCTGCATATACTTGCCCATCGAGGGATCTAGGTCGCTGTGTTTTTCGACCCTAGCCTCTGGACGGCTGTTCTCCCTCTTGCTGCCCGTGGTTCCTCCTATGTTGGTCCTGGTCAGGGCTCTTTTTTGGGTTTTCTTATTCTCCTTCCCTCACGACCCTGTGTCTTGGTTTGCACTTGTTCATTTCTTGTTAGTTTTTGTTTCCCTCTATTTGGCCCCCCTTTCATCCTTCTGCATGACCAAGACTAGACATTTCTTCATAGTTTGCTGAGAAAGAAACTTTTTGGGTTTCTGATTTGAGGGGGAAGTAGATTGGTTGTTCAGAGAGTCAAGAGGGATGTAAAAAGAACAAAAGCAGGTGGCGCAGGTGGATCTGTATATTGGGGCGAGGAGTCGTGGAGCTTTTGACGGAACAAAAATGCATCATCATTGAGTTTTATATGCCCCCTTGATTATATTCGGCTTGTGTTTTTTGTGTTTTGATATGAGTGATGGCGGGCGGTGTGTGCTATCGATAGGCTGGTTGGTGTATATTTGCACGCGTTGTGTGAACTCGGTGCTGGTTAGGGACTGTTGCTCGAGCGATGTGGCCTTGTGCTTTTTATGTTTTATTCATTGATAGTAACGCATTTACAACTACGGAGTGCTTCCCAACGCCCATGGCTGGCTCCCACCTAGGCGTAATCCCCGAGCAACTGTCTCAACTCGGCGCTTGGCTGAACCCCCTCCCCATTAAGATACTCTCTCAACTCGACCAGCAGCGGATCATCCAACTCGCCATTCTCCATCTCACTACCGGTGTCCTCGTCATCAGCTACATCTTCATCCTCCATGATGACAGTCTCGGCCTCACTCTCGCGCTCCCCTTCTTCCGTGCGCTCGGCATCCCTATTCGCTTCCTCCTGCGCCAGCCACGCCTGCCAATCCCACTGCCCCTCCGTCTCATCATTAGAGTAATTATGCCACGCCTGCGCCCTCAGGCCCTCGTCTTCCCCCAAATCAGGGGCGACGGTCATCAATGCGGCGTTGACGAACTCCTCCCACCCTTGCTTGTCGTTCATTTCTGGAACGCTGACTTTCTTTTCATCCTTGCGTGGGGAGCGGACAATGAAGCCGCGGTTGATTTCTTCGTCGAGGGGATAAGGATGCTCTTCTCCCCCGTCGTCGTCGTCGTCACCTTCTGAGGCATCGCCTGTCCAGGCTAGTGCTCGCAGGCGGTCGTCTTCGTCGTCGTCCAGGATTTTCTGCTTCTCCTCCGCGGACAGGTGGAAGAACTTCTTCTTCAGGGCGTGCTTCTTCTTCCAGTGGTGCGACGTGTCCATGTGTTTGAGGACATTCTCCTCGTCGGAGATGTACATGTCTTCTTCGGTGGGGACGATGTTGTCGCCGTCGCGGGTGTCGAAGTATCCCCACATCATCATGTATATCAAGTGGTGCTCTAGATCAAGAGTTCGTGCCGTGGCCTCCATGGGGATGAGTTCGTCAGGGCGGAGGAGGTGGTTGTCTCCCAGGCCCCAGCCCTCGTAGTGCCCTGTTCCCACTTCGTGGAGAGGCACGCCATGTATGGTGGTTTGCTCGCCGGCCTGGTTGGCGACGAGCTCGGGGGGGATTTCGTACTGGTATCTGACTTGGAGGTCGATCAGATCGGGGAGAGTGGTGAATCTCTTGCGCATGAGAAGCTGCCAGAGTGGGTAGAGGCCCTTTTGGCCCAGGAACAGGTGGAGGAGTTCGGGGCTGCCGGGGCCGTACGTGGGATCGTTGAACGCCATGAGGAGCTTCATGAAGAACATTTGCGCATTGTAGATGTGGTTGTCTGACCAGATGTCCTGGTTGCGCAGGAGAGCTTGCCGCTGGCCGGAGGTGGCGATGTCCATGAGCAGCCAGAGGCGGAGCAGCGTCCCATGCATCGACCTGGGCATGAGGAAGCCGTTTCTTGCCATGATTCCGATGATTTGCCTGCAGCAGCGATCCCTCCTCAGAACGAGCTGCAGGTATCGCAGGCCTGGGACCGAACGAATCTGCGCCATGAGCTTGGGGTTCGCCCTCGCCGCCTCATCTCCCTGACACTGCTCGCGCCACGTCCTCCCCGCCGGGTCCATCACCAGATATCGTCTGTACAGGCGAAACTGGAATATCCTGCCTGCCTCTGGGGCTCGATGTGCAATCCACATGCGGATGCTGGAGAGCATGTGTTCATTAATAGCGTTGTGAAACGTGCGGCTCGTCGCGTACAGGCTGACTAGGTCCTCAGGCGCAAGCTGCTTCCCCAATTCAACGGCTAGTTCGACCCGGGAGCACATGGCCGTAATTATATCTTGATTATAATACTTGAGACTAAACGGGGTCACTTCTGTTTGCATGCCATACGGATCTTCTTTGCCGAAGTAGAGCTCCAGTCCGTCGTCATCAAACTTGAATCGCTTGGTCGGTTGGCCGTCGGTCTCTTCCTCTGCGATTCTCGGTTCTGGCATGTTGCTGTCTTTGGATTTGTAGGCTCCGGTTTCCATCTCCAGCAAGTCGGCTTCCATGTCGTCGAGGATGGAGACGCCCCGATCCCTGACTTCGGGCTTGATTGCCCTTTCCCGTTCCACTTCTTTGGTGGCATACTCCTTTATGGCTTCCGCGATTCGTTCGACAGTGACGGGCTCGGAGGACGACGCATTGAGGTCCCGGAGTTGGTCGAGGGCAATATGTGTGAATATGGCCGCTTCTTGGGTGTTGAAGCCGTAGGCGCGTGCGTTGCGCTTGACTGTGTTGGGGTTGAATGGGAAAGCCATGGTGAAGTTCTGAGCAGGGCAGAGATGGAGAGGAAGCCTGCAGCGGATAATTAAGAGCTAAACAGTTAGCACGGAATTATAAGTTGTGTTTTGTGGTGTATTTGACGTTCTCGCAAGTAGAGGTTAGGGGTTTGCATTATGGGTCACCTATTGTCCACCCGTTGCGATCGGACGAACTCACTTCTTGTTGACCGTGGGTGCGCTCTCGATATGGGCCGGGCAACTAGTGAACCAAATGAGATGACATCTCGTTTGCTACCAGCTGTCACAGCATGGTGACACCCACAACAGCTGGCACTCCACGAATATCGAATAGAACCAGTTGTGAAATAGTCTCCATTGATAACCTTCCAAGGGCGTATTTATACAATCCCCCGCCAAAGAAAACGACAAAAATAAAAAATCTTAGCATAAAAGTTCCATCCCCCCCCCCCCCCCCGTCCCCC